GCTGTGCATCCTTACCGTAAAGATGTCAGTTGTGCACTTTTAAAGTCAAAACTAGGTCCGTGTATTAGGGATATAAATGCTGACGACACGTTTTTCTGAACTTTTGCATTACAACAACCATCAGAGATCATGTTCCCAACAGCTTTTATAGGATTACGTCATGATAAAACTCCTGACTTGGTAAGTGTTGTTCAGCTTAACGCTGACCGTTTCCCACATTCTCCTCTCAGACCACTTTGCATCAGTGAGCCTGGCGCTCTGCAGGCAGCAGCCACAGGCCTACTAAATCATGTCCCATCAGCTCTGTTCGGTGGGCTGGCTGCTCGGCCACAATCAGCCCTTTATGATGCAGGTGGCGATCAGGACGTGAGATTTGTAAAACAATCCTGACGTGTATCGGTGTGGGAACTTTGGGATGGGAAGCCAAGGCCTGACACTAGTGACTCATTCACTTCTTTACATGATGGCTGTAGTTTAAAACTCCTGCTGGAATATCTTCCTGGAGCTCCAAGCCTTCCTTTAATTTATCTGAATAAGCACAGACGAGTTCCTGGGAGGAAGTTCCTTGGAGGGCAGGTGGCAGCAGCCTCCATCACCACCTGGTGTGCCCCCCCTTCCCCTGGGCAGTGAAATGAGCATCCCTATCACCAACTACAGCAGCATCCAGCTTTCAGCTGCTGGAATGACGACGGGAGGGACAGTCTCTCCTTCTCCCATTTTAATTCCTTCATAAAGACGTACTGGGGGGTGGGCAAGGGTGGGGGTTCCCTTAGCAACACCCCCCACTCAGCTTTTGTCCCCCCTCCCCGACAGCAGTTTCTGCTCCAGGAGCCTTAGACAAGGCGTCCATTAATTGTGGGCCTGTGAGGAATACACATTGGACAATAGGTCCAACAGAGTGTCCAGCCCCCAGACAAGGCTGGAAACAAGTGGTACAGGAATCCGGCAGAATGGAGCCGTCCCGGCTGATGTCACTGAATACATTTACCTACCTCACAGCGCATTCACTCCGGGCTTTGTGTCATCTGGGACAAAAATAAAATCGAAGGGATGGGGGAGAGATGTAAAAAGGGTAGAGGGCATCAGATTAAACCCCGGGTGAGATAAGAGAAGGCTGAAAACAGAGGTTCAGCTTTTTCTGTCCTTTCAGCTCTGTTTATATGGCAATGACGAGCGGATAAAGGAAAGTGGGATTAGACGACTCATCCAGGCTCACGTTTGTCAACAACAACCTGAGAAGTTTCAAGTCAGCTTATTCCAAGTCAGTACACCGGCTCCAGAGGGGATGTGTTGGTACGGCAGGGATGGGGCACCATAGCAACTGGCATTTCAGCAGAGCGGCCTGCCATCTGTCACCGAATGTGGTGGGCTCCTTCGTTTAGAAACAAGAAAAGAAAAGAAAAACAGCATTAAGATGTTAAACTTGGAGGCAAAGCACTGAGACTGAAGTCTGATTAAACTCGGGGTCCCCCCCCCCCCCCCCCCCATTGAAAGGAGACGCCCATCCTCGCCTCATCAAACTGGAAAACGCTTTAAGAAACTCCAAGAGGCCTCACATTTAATTTTTAAACCCAGACATGAAAGTGTTGCCTAAACCACATTCAGCGGTGCAGACTCTTCAAAGCTCTAGTTAGCATGTAGATTATATGCATTTTGGTGCATTGTCGAAGCATCTAAGTGTATTTACATGTTAATCTGTCCAGGGATACCGGCCGACTGAAAAGGTGTCGGGGCTAAGTTGGTGAACTGGGCACTTTCTCTCCGTGCACTACGGGAATGTGATTTCTTTGTACCGTCGGAGTTCAAACGCATTCCTGTCAGGCCATGGATATTACCAGGACTGATTCCCCACATCACAGCAACCTACAGACCTGTTGATCCGGGCCAATGGAAGACCTCCTTGTCAGCGAACGAAGGCTAAAATAACCCGTCTTCTAGTCGCCACCCTCGTCTGGGGCCCGGCTGGTGCCTTGCCGTGTGGCTCGTGTTCTCGTCCGGGCTCGGTCCGGATCCAAAGTGTGTTTGTGTTGGCAGATATGAATTTGAAGCTGGCCCATTCTTGCCACTCAAGATGACTCACAAGACCAATGTTATGGCCACTTGTGCAGTGAAAGCAGCCTGAGGGATGCCTTTTCAGCTCTGGAGGACCTCTGGCTGAGTCCCATTCAAGCTGCAGATCATCCTGCTCCTCTCAGAGGGAGCTGTCCTTCTGGATCCTTGTCCCAGGGCCTCTCTTCTTCACCTGCCGGCTTAGCGCTCATCACTTATGCACATAATCCCTGGTTAGTGCATGTGATCCACCGGCTTGGGCCCTGAACCACCCCCCAAGCCTCACCAGCACAAATGCTTGCTGGGTGGCCATGGCAACACCCGTCTTCTCATGACAGTTAGGCTTCAGTCGTGGCTCTAAGTCCCTCTTCAGTCACAGGCTGATTGTGTACTGCCCTATCCCTGGCTTTGCGTTTCCCCTTTCTCCCGTTGTTCCCATGCTTTGGCTCAGCTGATGCCGAGGCGAGGTCGTAACTGTGCAACGGTACGGCCTCACCAGGGGCCACCAACCTGCATCGGCCCGATCTGACTGCAGCTCGAACGGGGGATTTACAATCGCTGCAAATGAAGCCCTGACCTCATTTTATTGTGAGTCTGGTCAGGAGAAGGAGATGGTGAGATACATTTGTGCGCTCCTTTTCAGCGCAGTCGCTGCAAGGCCTCCGAGTGCAGATCACCTTACCCACGATGCAAGCCTGCAGCCTCGACCATCCGTTTGTTTAAAGTGCTGGAGATCGAACGGGCCCTCGAGGGAGAGGGGGCCAAACAGCCCTGAGATGCTGTGTGGCCCCACGCTAACAAGCGCCGCAGTGATCCAAAGCAATCCTCCCCCTGTGTGAACTCCATGTGAGAGGCGTCTCCGTCCATGCCCCCGCCACCTCCGCACAAGGCCCTCCATTGACTTCTAACCTGACGAGAGACCACGGCAGACAAAGAGCGGCGGGGCGGGGCCCGTCCTTCCAACAAGCCTGTGAACAAACGTTAACACGGCTGCAACTGTCCACCCCCTGAATCACTGGATTTATTGACCAACCACAGAGCCCTTTCAGGCCGAGACGGACTGATAAATGAAGGGGGGGGCAGTGATGCCACGAAGGCCTGGGTAGGGAGCCCATACTGGGGAGAGGGGCTTTGTGACCGTCTGGTGGGTGACAGACCTTTTACCAGATGAGCGCGCCTTTGTGCTATCTCTAAACTGAGGCCCGCCGTGAGTGAGCATCGGGTTGGCCTTGTGTCCCGACTATTAATCAACACCGAGGCCTGCAGAGTGTCCGGGACTTTTCTAAAAACTGAAGCAAACTTTGGAGGTCCAGAGAGGACCTGAACGCTCTGACTGGAACTGCCGTTAACACAGAAGATGAAACGCTCTGCATCCAAACCCTGACAGCAGGCGCCCGCCACGTAAAACCAGCGTTGGTGACAGAAGGAAGAGAGCCGTGAAAGCGCACACGGCCGAGCACAAGCTGGAGAAAACCTTTCTGGGTGAGCTGCTGGCTGCGAGGAAGAAAGAGTGTGTGTTTTAGCTTCTTTATGTCGACCTGCGGTCTCCGTCTGCTCGCCTGACAAAACCAAGAGAATACAGCAGAGTGCACAAAACCCACGTTCCTCTGTAGAGCGGCAGCTCTTTCTGCAAAACTGCACGGCCAAAAGATGATCCTCTTGTCAGACACACATGAATTCATGATGCCTCCTCATCCTCATCATGAATATTCCCCCAGAAAGACTCTTCCCTGATCTGTGGGACATTCCTTTCTTTTTGGTACAAGCGAGGAGCCCCTTCCCTCTTTCAGTCCCCCCTAAATCCAGCCTTTCACAGCCTGCAGGCCCTGATCTCCACATGAAATGATACCCCTCTTTCTCCTCCACTCTTGCACCCTTAAGGCCCATATGCCAGGCAGTGAGGAGGCTGGGAAAGCCCATAATTGATCAGTGAGTCTTGGCTGAAAAAGTGTGACCAGGGTCAGCCCCCCACGACGTCTGCAAGGCGGCTTAATGCACCCGTGTACGTGGATTTCATGGGAGTTCTGCAGAGCAAACACCAAAGCGGTTCTTTAAAAGGAGCATTTCACTGGAATTACAGTTTCCATTCGTTTAAGTGGTTCATAACCGGAGTTAAAATCAGGTCATGGGTGTGGAGATGTCAGAGATATTTACTCCTGTTTCTGTGTCAAAGTTACAGTCCACCCCAACGAGCTGCTCTAAGACCAGCTGGTAGCTCACCACTCCTCAAGTAACTCAAATTCTCCACACCGAGGCCCTTCACATAGCGGTAATTATCATTTTTACAAAGAAAAAAGCTTCAAAATAATTGGAATTAGTCTTTAAAAGTTTAATAATGCCAAATTTCATGTGATCTCCACAACACAGCAAAGTTTCTGAAGCTAACGGCTCCGGTCAGCTGTTAGCTCTTCTACAGGAAGAATAGGAAACGAAGCTAACGCAACAACCATGTCAGGAAAGTCAGCCTAACGGTCTAGCAGCTGGTTGCATTAATGCAACAATTTTAGAAATCATCCATAGAAAGATCAGTGCCTGAAGGAGGCGACTGTTGGTAAAACATCCTGTTGACAGTCGGGCTGTAAACGTTCACGAGACGATAAGAGAATCACAACAGTTCATCCGTTTTACTCAAATATTTCTTGCATCTGAAGTTTGTAGCTCAGAAGAAAGAAGTTGAGATGGTTTCAGCAAACAGGAAAACACACGTGAAGGTGACGTGTCAAACTGTGGAATGCATGACTGACGTGTTTCTAATGTGAAGCTGGACAAAGGAAGCAGGCTTCACATCTGGGAAACCACGATTTCACATATGAACACGATGAACCACCATGTTGAACACTTGTTTAGCACATTTCCATTTGAATTTGATATAAACATTATCCTGGGATGGGGGGGGGGGGGGGTGTTAGGGTTGTGAAACGTGCTCTGCACACGTCTGAAGCCTTTTTGTACAACACACACCATGCCGGCATAGCGTGGCACGAATTTGTGGCGTTCATTCCGCCTCGCTTGGTAGTGATATTACGGTAATGGTCTGTCTTATAAATGGCTATTGCGCCATGATGCAACAGAGAGCGGTGTCATGATGACATGGGCAGTTAATGCCGAGCAACTTTATTAAAAATGAAAGTAAAGACGGGCAATAAGTTTGCTTTTAAACAAATCAGCAGAGACGGCAAACGGGAGTGCCGCGGCGCTCCGTGAGCGTCGCTCTGTTGGAGCTGGAGCTCAGATCTTCAGAGACCGCACAGGGACTGATGGGGACGGACGCCTTTAGGAGCAGCTTGTTACACAACCTAACCATCGCAGCTTCAATCGTAATTAAAAGCACGTGATGTTCAAGATGAACAGAAGTCCATCGCAGTGCTGGGACCGCCCCCACACCCCCTTTATGCCGCCATCCCCTACTCTTTTACAAAAAGGACACGATTGTGCCACATTACCACCGTCTGACCACTCATTAACGACATAAGGCGCCCTGATGCCGCCATGGGATTGGGCAAATTGACGGCATTGTTTTGTATAAACAGCTTGAGTGTTTCATGCAGGCTGAACATGAAAATAGTCTCCTACACCTTCCTCCTGCATCAGCTGCTAACAAATGGTGAAACTCTAGGATTAGAAAAACCCGACAGGTCTACGTCACACTGTCGCTTAACATTCATGGGCTCAACCGTCAAGTGTTGCTTTTGGTGGGCGTCTTAATCCTACTCTACACCGGAAGCATCAGCGGCGTGGAACGGTTTACTCGCGACTATCGCTGCACACCAGTGCACACGGGGAGCGTCTCCGCCGCCAAGCGGCTTCTTCGCTGGGCTCCGTGCTCGACTTGCTCGACCCGAGTCAAAGCTATCGTAACTCGGTCAAGTAAAGAAGCTGCTCAAACTACCTGAAAGACTCAGTCATATCTTTCCAAGTCGAGACTGTTCCGGCACAGCCAAATGCAGCAGTGTCACGTGATCAGGGAACCGTAGCTGGACTGGATAAAAGCCACAGGACTTTGGCTTGGGCCACCATGAGGTCACCTTATTATTTTGATGCACTTTTGATGCTGAATTTTTGCTCGTGTCTTTTAAGTTAAAGAAAAATCTGAAACACAATTTGACAGAATAAAAATTCAGTGTCATAACTTCAGCGTGTTGTTGGGAACACGAGCGTCCGTGCAGTGCTGACTCGTGTTTCTGCGAACTTTGAATTTGTGAACTGCACTTGTTCTGTTTTTGTTGTGCTGCATCCTTGACAAGAGGTACTAAAAACTAGACTACTTTAAATGTATATTAACAAATAAAGTGCAATTGACACTAATTCAAATATACCAGAGACAGATTGTGGAAAAGGCTAAATACTCAGAGGAACCTCGCCTTGATGTCTTGGCCCCGCCCCGGTTGCCTAGGAGATACGTCATCAGGTGCCGCACAGACGTGTTCCAATCGGGTCCAATGTTCACGTTCTACCGAGGCGTGTGTTCTCCGTTTGTTAGCCGTTTAGCTAGCTGAATAAGGATACACGGGAGGTGTCTTGTAGCCTAGCCTTGGTCAAAAATTACCCAGAATACACCGCAGTATTTTCAAAAGGACGGCGGATCAGAAGCCGGCAGCTACTTCGGGGACAATTTTCAAGTTTAAAAGTAAGTCAGCTAATTTAAAATGTTTTTTTAGATCCAAAGACGTTATCTATGGTTGGTTAGTTGTTTAGCAGTTGCAGCTTCAGTGGCTAGCGGGTAGTAACTCACTTATATATTTAATTTAATAAACATATACACAATTCAAAAAGTAAAAGGCACGTTATATATTTATATTGAAACTAATACGTATAAAATATAACGTTATCTCCCGTGTCACGTGACGCTACGTGACTGCCGTGGAAGCCGCGGTCACGTGACGCAAGTCTGTTCCATTCCAATAGAGCTCCGGGAGTTGACGTCACTTCTCCCGGCATGCAACAGTTCAAATCGAAACGGCGCCATATTGGCAGGCAGAAGCCCGCAGCTGGACTATTTGTTATTGTCAGAAAACTCAATCAGACAGGAAATACGGTAGATTCCTGTTGTGCCCCAGGATGCAGAACAGACACGGACGACATAAGGAATGAGTCATCTACAGGATTCCCCAAGATCCGGAGCGCCGCAAACGTTGGATCATTGTAATAAACGCACTAGTGACCGGGCTAAAATGAAACTGTGGGATCCCGAGAGTAAAGGTTTTCGCTTATGCAGCGACCGCTTCATATCAGGTACTTAAACCAACGTTTCCTCAACTGTGTATGGTATTTATTTTAAATGCTTTTATTATGATTCTTAGTGGGCTTCCTAAACTTATTTTGGCGTGGCTTTTTCTGTCTTATTACTCATAGCAACAAGTAAACGTCACGTAAAACGTTGCCTCGTGAGTTCTGCGTGCTGCCGTTTACGTGTTTTATGATCACAGCAATTAACCGGCTAAGCTGTATTTATTTTTTAAGCAATGGTTGATCAATTGTCAGATCACACATAAAAAGCACTTTGGGTTGCTATTATCTGTCTCACCGAGACAGATCTCAGACAGATCCTGAGACGCTCCTGCCTGACATTTTTATTTTATTCACGGAAAAAAATCAGACTAGTGATTTCTCTTGGTGTTCAGTTTATACATTCAAACAGCACAGCACTCTATTTAAACTACTTACATGTAAATCTATGTTATTTATCCATCCATTTTCATCCGCTTCTCCGGAGTCGGGTTACGGGGGCAGTAGCGTCGAGAGGCCCAGACTTCCCTCTCCCCAGCCACTTTGGGCCAGCTCCTCCAGGGGAATCCCAAGGCGTTCCCCGGCCAGGTCCGGTAAGAAATCCGCTCCGACAGCTTCTGGCGTTTTTAAAAAGTATCCCAGGGGCACGGTAAGGGTCGGAGATGTTTAGTCTATTTAATTTCTGACTATATAAAACGATTTCTTCGGTTTTAAAGTGTGAAGTAAACTCAGACGAAGTAAAATCCAAGCCGATCCCGTTCATGTTTACGATCCGTGTTTGTTTACCCTTTTTGACTGCCAATATGGCGTCTACTGACTGAGAGTCACGTGGGGTCCAGAGCTCTATAGTATGAATGTCGATGGTTCCATTTAACTGTTTTCTTTGGCCAAGGAAGGACGGTGTCCTTGTATGCAAGGCGCCTGACATTGAGAAACGCCCAGAGTTTCAACGCCGTGTAAGATGTTGATTTTATTTGTTTTTATCTTTTTTCTTCAGTTGTTTTCTCTGTTTAATATATTTAAGAACGGTCTGTTTCTATGTTCTATTTGTATGTGTGTTTTTATTCTCATTTATGTGCTGTTTTTGTTTACCCTATTTTACTGTGTAGCACGTTGGACCTGTGCTGGGTGCTTTATAAGTAGAGCTGGACTGGATTTGGGATTTCCAGATTGATATTTTGGGTTAGTGTAAAAATTCTCCGGGGATGAAACTGAAATGTTTTGCCACAAATAACCAGACCGACGGGAACCCTGAATGTTGTTGGTGATGGGTAGAAATATGAACATTTTCTTATCTCCAGCTTATATTTACTGAGATATGAGATGTCACATTAAAAAGTCAAACGGGAGAAAGGGTCAGAGCGAGGGTCAAGTCGCTGCTGCTTTTCGACTCAGTCGGGGGTCACAGCAGGTCAGAGACACGAGACGGTGGCACGGCGGCGTAGGTGATGGTGGAGGGTTTGGGGGGCCAGTCGGTGTCCTCCTGCAGCTCCAGAGTCAGACGCCTGAAGAGACCCCTCGGGGACTTTTTCCTCCGACAGAACACCCGGGAGAGGACGGACGCCCCCCAGCGGTCATTGGCCTCCTGTAAACACATCAAACGTGACAACAAAGAACAAACTAGAACCTTCAGTGGGAGGTTCTGTAGGTGTTCTGTAGGGAACACGATGGAGAAAAGATCAAAGCTCTAACATGCAGAGAGTCAGAGATCAGCATCACCTGTGGCGTGTCAGCAGAGCAGGACTCTGGCCCCTTATTGTCTCTGAAAACAAGCCTCCACAAGATGATGTCAAGGATCAAAATCTAGTGGGATTTTAAAAATCGGCTGATCAGGAGGACAGAAAAAGCCTCAAGGAGGAGTTTGATTCATTCAGACAGCAGCTAGAAGGAGCGCGACAAACGCTTACCTCCAACAGGAAGGACACAACCACATTGGCTGCAACAATGACGACCAGAGTCACGCGCCAGTCATGGGGAACACACACGATCTGGGGAGGAGGTCCAATGAATGCTGCATGAATAATCCAGCAAAATGCTCAAATGAACATGTCTCCAGGGTTGTTGGTTCAGGAGCAAAAGGGAGCAGGAACGTAACGTTCACCTGTAAGAATCTGTCGATGGCGGGGATGGGGTACAGCATGATGAAGAGGAGGAACGCGTAGAGACCGACACAGGAACACACGAAGGGCCCTGATGGGAGAAAACCACAATCAGACTAAATACGCCATTATTCCGTCTGATAAACTGGAATCACAAACTAGTGGGAGACTCTGATTTGCACCAGAATTCCCAGAAAAACCCACTAAGGCTGCCTCGCTGAGTAGGAGCTCACTACACGTGCACCACGCATCAGACGTTGGGGAAAATTCTCCTGTCGTTGCACGAGCTCTACAGGCTTTTCGTTGGGAAACGTTCGCACAACCTACGGGAGAATCTAATTCATTGTGACTCAACAATTGTGAGCGTTTGTTGTACAAGTGTTGCATCAACAACAAAAGTAATGTGTGCGCCACAATTACCCTACAATTATAACTGAGAAGGTTCTAGATGTCCATCCGCAGCGTTCAAACGTGCAAAAAGCTGAAAATTTCACAAGACTGATTTCTTCCCTCCTCACATCTGGAAGTCAGAGAGAGAAACTGGAGGCAGCTTTGGGAGGAGATGGCAACAGAAGTGCACACAAAAGCTTTTTACCTGGCCGTCCCACTCGACCTGTGCATAAATAACACGTCTCACTCCTCTGGCTCATGAAAACTAACCTGGGAGGAGCAGGGACCTTCTCTAACAACGAGGGCCCTCGTTCATCAAACGTTTGTAGAAACTGTCCTATATTCCTTCCTATGGATGACATTTACAATGTTCTTTGATCACATGATGTGTGAACATGCAGCCGCCTCTCGTGCACGTTTCACAACCATCTGATAAATCCCACCTGTGCATACCCAGATGTTCCTATCTGATCATTTACATACAGAAACACCCTCAATTAACCATATTTGGTCGTGCTTAGCAATGGGTACTGAATTGGGTACTTTTTAAGGTACCAACCGAATTCCATTGTACCGACTGAGCACCGATTCACGTCATTTGAAACGGTGCCTCGTTTCGGTACCCGTCCTTCATAACGAGAACTTGCCTAGACAGCTGCGCATGCGCAAGAGCGTTGCGTCGTCAGTCGCTGCGAGCGAGTTGTAAACAGAGCAGCATGGTAGAAAGAACGCACGCTAAAGCTTGGGTCCACTTCACTACATGTGATGGGTAACTGGGTGATGATGAAACCAGCGACAACGATCTAAGTGAGACATCCTCATCTTAATCTGCTCCGGTAGGTAAATAAAATGTTTAAGATAACGTTAGCTTGATATGTTAGCTTCCGTTCTGCTAATGGTGCGTTCGCTTTCTCCTCGGAACTCCAAATTTCCGACTAGAAGAACATGAACGCGCTCTAAAGTTTGGCTTCACTTTACTAAATGTGACGGGTGATTGGGTGAAGATGAATCCAGCAACAACGATCCAAGTGTGAGGCATCATCGTTTTAATCTGCTCCAGCAGCTAAATAAACTGTTTAAGCTAACGTTAGCTTGATATGTTAGCTTCCATTGTCACCGTTGTTATCAGCTAATGGTGCGTTCGCTTTCTCCTCGGAAATTCTAACTTCCCAGTAGGAAAAATCAAATGAGAAAGGACGGCCAAAGGAATGAAGATACACAGTAAATTTAGTTCACAGTAAAGATGTTTGCTTCAGTTTAATTATCAGCTTATAAAACTACAAGGACGACGTTAAAATACAAACAGTTGTATGTTATTTATCGTGATATTTATCAAATATGGTTATATATTGAGAAAATATATATTTAATTATGTAAGAGCATTAAAATATTAAACACTCAAAATTATCTAAAATTGGTACCGTTAAGTACCGGTATCGATTCCTAGGTACCGGGAATTAGTACCGAATCGATTCAAATGTCAAAGGTACCCATCCCTAGTCATGCTACGTCCTCAGCTCATGAGGGGATTCCCTGGGTTTTTATACCTCAAAAAATGTTACTGACAGAGAGATCGAGCCGCTGGCTGAGAAACAAACACGTTACGTAGGTTTTAAACGCAGTCGGGACAGAGGAGAGGTCCCAGTCAGAAAAAAGTTACCGGAATCTGATCAATTGTAGGGTCATGGGTTGTCGTTTATATTTAAGAAGTCCTTCTGATTGGAGTTTGTTTGATTTGGACACGTTGTCTGAGTGCGCAGCCTCTACTGAGCTGTCCTTCAGTCTGGTTACCGTGGCAACGCGGCGTGTATGATCGGGGAGCAGAGGAGGTTCTGGTGGTTTCTCGTGGCTGTAAAATAAAATATGAACTGGAATCGGACTCGTGCTCGTACTCGTCCTCCAACACAGAACAGCCATGATATAAGGTCAGATTCCCGTCCATCACATGGGTCTTTTATTGGTTTTAGCACCAATTAAGTAAAAAAGCTGTTTTTCCACCACCATCATTATTTATTGAATAAAATACTTTATGGCTGAGGAACAGCTGTGGAGTACCGCGGCTCCCTTGTTCTACCACTAGGTGCTGCATGCTCAGAGCCGTTCTTATATGTAGGGACGTTTCTACGCACAAGTACAAATTGCAAGGGCGCCCCCAAGGGGTGGCCATGGCCACCTCTAGAAACGCGCTGACCCCCAGGAAAAGTCAGTTTTCATAAATCATATTCATGTTCAGTCAAAGCATATATTGATCTTGTTTATTCAAGACATAATTGTAAAACAAAAATAAATACAATTAATAAGTAAAGAAATATCAGAACAAATACATATGTTTAACGCTGCTCAGAAGTTTTTATCTCCATACTTTTTGTAAACACAGCAACAGGCGAGTTAACCTAAAAAAATAAAATAGTAAATTAAATTTGGAATAACATTTTAAATAATTGAAATGTACTTTTCCGAAACGTTTGTGTTTGTAAAATTTGAGTTAAATGTTTGGATACGTACTGCTTTTCTAATAAATATGAATAAAGGAGCAATGCAGCACATCGCCACGGGCTAAACTCTCCCAGAGTTACCACAAGGTTCAACTTGCTGTGCCACCCACCCCATCCAGCCACCCCTATCAAAATTTTCTGGAGGCGCCCCTGGCAAATTGGTCAGGTCCAGTCCTACCCACGAAGTTCGCTCAGATGTGTTCGTAAGTACGGGCGACAAACGAGGGCCCTTGTATCGCAGCCTGTGACTCCAGCCTGGAAACGGAGAAGCCTTGCAAGCAGTTCAAGACAAATTAAAAACTCACTTGTGAGTGTTGTTGGCAGCTTGTGTGCAACTGCACTGGACCAGTGAGATACTGGTTTCAACCCATTACATAGAAAACAAGCTGAATAAGTCTCACAGTTCTTGTAGCTGGGCTGTCTGAAGGGCCTTCCCTTGGAGAAGGTGATGGCCACGGCCAGGTACTGGAAAGAGGAGATGTAGAAGAGCGAGGTGTTCTCATAGTTCCTGATGTTTTTGGGGTCTACAGGAGCCGTCCCGTTGAGGCTGTGGGAGATGCTGGACCTGTTACAGGCGCTAAATGACAAGAGGACATGTTACGTGAGCTGAGCTGCTACCTCCCTCCACTCATCATCATCATCATCATCGACCTTTTTATGAAGCTCTTTGCATCAGCCAGGAGGCGAACCAGAGAGCTGTACTTGCACAACAGCCTTTAAAACCACTGACCCATGCAAGGGCCCACAGCATATAACTAGAGACAAATAAAAGCCGAGTACTGCTGAGATCCTAATGGTGAGTGGTGGGGGATCAGAGGTGCCACACACTCTGGCGGTGGCAAACCATCTTTTTTATTAGCGTCCACCTTCAGATTGGACCATTTTTTTTATGTCCGCCACAGATCTCTCTGAAGAAGTCAGCATTGACGGCTTCAGCAACGCTGCGCCACTCCGTGGATTTTCTCTTATTTGTTTTGCAAAAACACTTCCTTTCATTTCTCCACCTCACCCACAGGTACCTCAACTTCTGCTTCTGTGAAATAGCGCCTCCTTGATCTGCCTTGATCTACGGTCGCCATGTCGTTGGCGGAGCGCTGCAACAGCCGGCTTATGTATATGCATGAGGTCCACAAAGCACTTTGCATTGACCATTTATGGCAGAAAGTGGGAGTGGCGAGGGCGGGATGTGACTAAAAAGAAGCTGAGAAATATTCTCGTTAGTCTCCGATTCATTAAGCGGAGATTGCGTGCAGCTGTGCGTCCTCCATGTTTGATAGATCACCAACCTACTTGGTGTAAGTACATTTGTTTGCTGAGCTTAAGTACGGTTTTAGTAAGGATTCTACGCCGTGTTTGCTAAATGAGACCCTTGGTCTTTCAGCGGAATAATTTTAGCGGCATAAGAACCATCCTTTTTCCAGATCAAACCATTATTTTTTTTATCTGCAAAACAACTCATCAGACGTGGAACGACCAGACCCCAGGGGGTATCTCCTGACCAGCTGATTCATGTTCTAAAGGAAGCTCCGACCGTTGGATACCAGAAGTCTAACTCCATTCGACAGCCATGTCGAGCCAACTTTGCCAGACAGCTAGGTCGCCACGGGTACCGTAGCTCTGCACACTGGCGTTGGGTGGGTTTAATTAAACAGTCCCAAATCTGCCAGATTATTTCATAAGCCCAGACATCACTCGTTCCTACGACACTTAGACTTTAATAACATCCAAGATCATGTTTCGAAAAAGTTTGGTTATTGTCTCAGTTGATATTACCTTAAATCGCCGTTTCCAATCATTTGCCCCGCATCATCATTAGTAGCAGAATTATAATAAATTCATTTTTATAAACTATATTTTTCTTCTGTGTCAAATTATTATAAAGAGTTGTTTCCCCGACAAACCCAAAGTACCTACTTATATCATCAATCACATATGAAAGCGTTCGATTATATTGATTATCCATGTTTTTATGGAGGATTAGAGTTTATTGAATACCTTGAACCACTTATAAAATATTACAACGCAAAAGCACATTCAACACTGCACACAGTAGTCATCAACCAGAACCACAAGACAATACTTTAGGACCCAAATGATCAACAAGTCCCATCAGAACAGACAGGAAGTGAGTGACCAGACGGGTGGAGACTTTTATTTTGTAAAAATCCCTGAGATTGAATGATTTCCGGAACAAGACCCGGTGGCACTCACTCCGACTGAGGTGTCCATGTCTCGTACCAGCTCTGCTTCTGGACCAAGAAGAAAACCAGGACCTGGAAGGCCAGGCAGGTGGTGATCTGGGTCAGAACTGAGAAGAGCAGTGGGGCGGAGATCAAGCTGGAGGGTGGGCGGCGCCACACCAGCTCCTTCCACGCTGAATTCAGACTCACTGAGATGGAAAACAAAAGTAAGCTGTTAGAGGGTCATCCTCCACCTCCAAACTCCAAAAGCTCCTCATCATGTTGCTCACTGGTAAAGGCGATGATGAGGATGATGACGAGGTCAATGAAGAGGAACTGGAAGTCTCCCAAGTTGCTGAAAATCTGAAAAATAAAAAGAGAATCAGAGACGAGAGGTTCATTGAGCCTGTACCGTCTTTATCAGAAATCCTCCCAGAAGGTTCCTCCTGAAGGTCAGACACGAGTCCAGGACCTACCCAGTAGAGCAGGATGACGCTGATGTACTGGATGATGCTGTAGAGAGCCATGAACTTAAAGACGCAGAAGGAGGTGATGAGAGCCGCTCGTCCCTCCCTTAGAAAGCACACGTGGAAAGGAACGGTTACTCAGGCTGCAGAAGTTTGGGAACGTTTTAAAAGTCTGCTCAGGACTCCACCTGATGAGGGTGGGAACGCAGGAGATGTTTGAGGTGGAGGAGGTGAACGGAGAAGCAACTGATGCTTCCAGCTCTGACAGAGAGATCCCACCGTGAGCTCGCTTCAAGGCCTGGGGGGGGGACTTCATCTGTTTTATTCTAGTCTCCATGTGTGATCACAGATTTTAGACCTGAACTGACCCAAAACCCCTTTTAGGTCCATACTCACGCCACAGTCGTTGGCGCCGTCGCCACACATCCCGACGGTGTAGCTGGAGGGTCGGAGGCAGACACGTGAGAGAGGAACAGGCTGACACAGAAACACTTCAGAAAGACAGAAACTCACTCCATGCCCTGCAGGACCTCCACCAGCTGAGTCTTCTGGTCTGGAGCCATGCGAGCAAACACTGTGGCTCTCAGGGAGAGCTGCAGCGCCCCCGTGTGGAGAGAACAGCGTTACTGCAGCAGGACAGACACCTGAAGTGTCTCAAAGCTTCTTACCTTCTGCAGCAGCTCAGGGAAGTGCTCTGTGATGACAGTAAAGGCTCTGCCGCTCACAGCAAAGTGGTACGCCTCCTCATCCACGTTTATCTCTGCAGTCTGAAGGAGAAACACAGAATTCACAGGATATTTAGTATTTTACTGCTGATGCCTTATTAATGTGGGAACACCTGTAACCTTTTACCGGGCGGCTGAAGCACAGTCGAGTTCCTTTATCTGTTTGAAACATGAACGTGCCTAAAAACCATGAATAAATTAAAAAATCTACAAAAGCATTTAGTACCAAAAAACACCTTTACTTTGCAGCCAGTTAGCTAGCTAGGTCCAAGAGCTGAGTCAGGAACCAATTAGGAGCCACACACCTGAGACTAGAACACACCTGAGACCAAAACACACCTGAGACTAGAACACCTGAGACTAGAACACCTGAGACTAGAACACCTGAGACCAGAACACCTGAGACCAAAACACACCTGAGACTAGAACACCTGAGACCAGAACACCCGAGACTAGAACACCTGAGACTAGAACACCTGAGACTAGAACACCTGAGACCAGAACACCTGAGACCAAAACACACCTGAGACTAGAACACCTGAGACCAGAACACCCGAGACTAGAACACCTGAGACTAGAACACCTGAGACTAGAACACCTGAGACCAGAACACCTGAGACCAGAACACCTGAGACTAGAACACCTGAGACCAGAACACCTGAGACCAAAACACACCTGAGACCAAAACACACCTGAGACTAGAACACCTGAGACCAAAACACATCTGAGACTAGAACACACCTGAGACCAGAACACACCTGAGACCAAAACACACCTGAGACCAGAACACCTGAGACTAGAACACCTGAGACTAGAACACCTGAGACTAGAACACCTGAGACCAGAACACCTGAGACCAGAACACCTGAGACCAAAACACACCTGAGACCAAAACACACCTGAGACCAAAACACACCTGAGACCAAAACACACCTGAGACTAGAACACACCTGAGACCAGAACACCTGAGACTAGAACACCTGAGACTAGAACACCTGAGACTAGAACACCTGAGACCAGAACACCTGAGACTAGAACACCTGAGACCAAAACACACCTGAGACTAGAACACCTGAGACCAAAACACACCTGAGACTAGAACACACCTGAGACCAGAACACACCTGAGACCAGAACACACCTGAGACCAAAACACACCTGAGACCAGAACACCTGAGACTAGAACACCTGAGACCAAAACACACCTGAGACCAAAACACACCTGAGACCAGAACACCTGAGACTAGAACACCTGAGACCAAAACACACCTGAGACTAGAACACCTGAGACCAGAACACCTGAGACTAGAACACCTGAGACCAGAACACACCTGAGACTAGAACACACCTGAGACCAGAACACACCTGAGACCAGAACACACCTGAGAATAGAACACACCTGAGACTAGAACACCTGAGACTAGAACACCTGAGACTAGAACACCTGAGACCAAAACACACCTGAGACCAGAACACCTGAGACTAGAACACCTGAGACCAGAACACCTGAGACCAGAACACCTGAGACTAGAACACACCTGAGACCAGAACACCTGAGACTAGAACACACCTGAGACCAGAACACCTGAGACTAGAACACCTGAGACCAGAACACCTGAGACTAGAACACCTGAGACTAGAACACCTGAGACTAGAACACCTGAGACCAGAACACACCTGAGACTAGAACACCTGAGACCAGAACACACCTGAGACTAGAACACCTGAGACCAGAACACACCTGAGACTAGAACACCTGAGACCAGAACACACCTGAGACTAGAACACCTGAGACCACAACACACCTGAGACCAGAACACCTGAGACCACAACACACCTGAGACCAGAACACCTGAGACTAGAACACCTGAGACCAGAACACACCTGAGACCAGAACACCTGAGACTAGAACACCTGAGACTAGAACACCTGAGACTAGAACACCTGAGACCAGAACACACCTGAGACCAGAACACCTGAGACCAGAACACACCTGAGACCAGAACACACCTGAGACCAGAACACGTGAGACCAAAACACCTGAGACTAGAACATCTAAGACTAGAACACGTGAGACTAGAACACCTGAGACTAGAACACCTGAGACCATAACACACCTGAGACCAGAACACACCTGAGACTAGAACACAGCTGAGACTAGAACACAGCTGAGACCAAAACACACCTGAGACCAGAACACCTGAGACTAGAACACCTGAGACCACTGCCGGTAAAGCATTCTGAATGGTTTTCTGAGAGCCATAAAACTAAAGCCCAACTGCTTTCTGTTCACAGAACCGGGCCTTACTGCACGTGTCCATTGTTGTATCATCCATGTATCTGTATGTCATTTACATTCATTACAACGATAAGAGTTAACAGGACTCTGGATGACTAAAGACAAGAAAAATGCTAATTATTATAAATAACATGTAGTAAAGAAAGACATGAAGAGTAGAGAGAATCAGATTAGCGAGCTATTTCATATCAGTGGGAATTTGCTTTGATGAACTGGTGCAAACATTCAGTACAGGCCAAACGTTTGGACACGCCTTCTGATTCTATGTTTATCTTCATGACCAGGACCGTTTACAAAGGGTGCTAAACACCTCTGGGAACTCCTTCAAGACTGGTGGAAAACCATTTCAGGTGACTGCCTCTTGAACTCATCAAGAGAATGTCGGGAGGTCAAAGCAGCAATCAGAGTAAATGGTGTCTATTTAGAAGAAAATAGAAAATAAAACACGTTTTCAGTTATTTCACCTTTTGGTTTAGTACATAACTCCACGTGTGTTCATTCAGAGTTTTGATGCCTTCAGTGAGAACCTCCCAATGTAAATGGTCATGAAGATAAAGGAAACACATTGAATGTGTCATGGTCTGCATCTGTGTCTTCCCCATGTGTCTCCTTATGTCCTCCATCCCTCTTTAGATTCCCCTTTTGTGTCTCATAGCGCCCTCATGTGTCCTTTGTCTGCATCTCTGTTGTGTGTCTTAAGTTGTAGCCCCAGCCTCTTGTTCCCCAGTTCATTGTATGTGTGTATGAGTTTGTGTTTGTGAGTTCTTCCCTTAGTCTTAAGGTTTAGTTTTGTGTTTTATATAGTGTTAGGTTTATCTGCCCTCGACTGGTTCTCTTCCCCATCCAGATAATTGTTGTCACCTGCCTTCCTCCAGCAGCTCACTCCGCACACCTGCTTCCTGTTTCCCTAATTGCTCCTCCCTGTCTATATAAGCCCTCCTTGTCTCATTGTTCTTGTCGGTCCATTGTTGTTGTCAGCGTTATTTGTTCTGTTCAGTCTGCTCGTTCCTCTGGTGTTGTTTTTGACTCTCTGGATTTTGGGATTTTTTGGCTCACTGCCATTTGGATTTATTTTTGTTCTTCCTCAAAATAAAGGATTTTTACTTTACATATCCACTCCTGCCTTGTGTCATCCTGGGTTCTGCATCTTAGGTACTAACCTCCTGCTCCTAAACGTGTGTCCACACCTTTGGCCCGTACTGTACATAATACATAAAACGAGGAAAACACGAAAACAATGAAATAACCCCCTTTTCCTTGTTCCTGCTGCCCGTATCGTCCCCACCTCTTGTAGTAATTCGCTGTTTGTTTCATAAATATAGAACATTTGTAATGATTTCAAAAGTAAACTTTCTTCTGCTAAAGAAGACCTGCTTTTTATTCCGGTCGCTGTTTAAACATGGGACTACTTTCTCTGAGCGTAACCAGAAAGTAGTAAAGCGGCTCTCACGTGATCGTTTCCGGTTTTGGGCTCCCTCTGGGTGTGTAGGTCGAAGGCTTCTAGGGGCACCCGTTATCCTTTCAGGTGAACCGGTTTCCCCGTCATTTGAACCCTGTATCCGAGTCCGGATCAGGAGGTAACGTCAGATTCGGATCGAGTCTGAAACCACTTGATCAGGACCGATTTCCGATCGGCTCTGGACATCCCCACTTCTATTGTATGTGCTGTCTCTGTTAGACCCACCTGATGGTCCTTGATGGTTCGAGTGGCGTTGTTAGTGTAACGCCAGGTGATACTGGCAGGGCGGGAGTCTTTAGGAGGAGCAGCATCCGCTATGATGACTCTCTCATCAGCGTGGATCATCCCACAGTCTCGAGCCACAGAGATGGCCGTCAGCATGTTGTCACCTGGCAGACAAGGAAGATGACACCAGTGAATTGTTGCAGTAACCTCAACCCAACACCATCACGGAGGTTACCTGTGACCATCAGAAGGCGGATGTTGGCTCGCTGTAGTTCACGTAAAGCACCAGCTGTCTCCACTTTGATTTTGTTTTGCATGATGATCAAACCCAGGAAGTTCATGTTGGTCTCAATCAGGTCCCTTAAACAAACAAACAAACAAACACACAACAGTTTCATTTACCTGTTGAGACTGAGATGGTACAGATACCTAATCCAGTCCACTACAGAGGGACTTTGGTTGAGAAGAAGATTCTGGTTTACAGTTCAACAACTCAGGATGGGTTTGGTTTGGTGGGGAGCTGGTGACCCAGATGGATCTCTTTGGTTTGGTCCTCATGTCCTCCACTGAAGAGGCAGAATCTGAAAACCTGGAGCAAGACAAGTCCATCAAAAAGGTGGAGGTCTCTGAGGGAGTTAAATGGTGGAGTGGGGAGCATCCTGAGATGCTGAAGGCTCTGGATGCTGTAGGGATGTGATTGTTTGACATATCTTCATTGTTCCATGAATCATCAGGACGGGGATCCCAGTTTTAAAAAGGGGAACTAGAGACGATCAGATGGATCCCTCTTCTCAACTTCCTTCAGGAATTTGGAGAGAACGCTTCAACTGATTGTTGAATTTTATATTCAGGAGCAGCGTGGGTTTTGAGTCCTGGATCAGTTTAACAGACCTTCACCTTTGTGGAGGGTGCTAAGGTCAGTTGTGATCTCTACACATCCAAGGTAGGAGCTCCTAGTCCAGTTTGATGCCAGCGCAGTCTGGTCTCTACTTGTGGCCTGTGGTCTTCACAGACCATAACCAGTTCATGAAGAGGAGGGTGTGTTTTAGGCGTCTTTAAGCAGTGAAGCCGTCAGCAAGCACCCGGGCGGTTTGAGCCAGGAGACTGCTCGTTCAAATCCGAGACCATGATGGAATACTCCCTCCGGATTGGAAGGGATTTGGTTGGGAGAGATCCTCAGAGAAGATCAGGTATCTAGAAATCCCATCCAATGGGTTCAGATGGGTTTATGATCTTGTCCCACGTTTTCCACACACTTCTGTTTGTGCTTATATTATGGGATGTTAATATGTGATTCTCTCTGCTTCAGACCTGTTATTTTAGATTGACCAAAACTAAACCATCAGTAGTTGTGAGTCAGACAGGTGCATTCAAACCTGGTCAGACACCACGATGACTTCTTAAAGATGAGATAAAAACATCATCAGAAAATAAAACAAACATCAAACATGTCAGGCAATAGAAGAAAGGGGGAGGAGCCACGTGTCCAGTGATTATCTGACATTACAGACATACCTGCTGAGGTTCTGGACTTTGTGCCATGATAGTTTGGACTCTAGCTGTCGGTGTGCCAGGGCGATAACCCTGAAGCCCTGCCTCGTGTAGCTCTCCAGGCTGTCAGAGAAATTCTGAGGGACTGAAGGACAGAACCACACCCACATGGGATCAAACGTACAGAGATGCCTGAAAACATAGAGAAGTGTGGATCCCAAAGCTTCAACACTCAGCTGAACGAGTGTCTGACCTGTGAGTGGTTTACAAAGGCTGGCCACGACCTCTGGCGCTCCCTTCAGGAAGGCCTCCATTTGTTTTTCCCCCAGCCTCCGGACCACCACGCTCATCCTTTGGAGTGCCGAGGAAAATGGGAACTGACGCACGATCCCGATCTCACAGGACTGTGGAGTGAATGTTAAGGTTTCACTATGCAGACACATATTTGCACCCCCTCCCCCCACAACCACACACACAAACACACACCACTTTATCGACCCCCACCTTTTTGACTGTCCCTAAAGGTGCATCTGAAATATCTTCCAGTTCTTGTACAGGTAAAGGTATGTGGTATCAGAGGTGAAAAAGTGTTGACCTACTCTCGGGGGCTCGGGGGCATGACCCCAGAATAAAAGTTTTGATATTTCATATTTAAAAGCATCAGGCTGGTATGAATGTATAATAAAGAATCTATGGCATTATAATATTATATCTGATTGATTAAGGCCCGGGATCGATTAAAATTAACTAATTACTCTTAAATCTGAAAAAAATGAATCACTATTCATTTTTTTTATTTCCAGAAAAAGCAAGCAATGAACATGCAAAAATATACAAGAGAGGTTTGTTTTATTTAGAAAGTGCATAACTTGTGTGTAAAATCACTGAATACTGTCTTTAACTGAGAAAACCTAAAATGAAATCTAGTTTCTGTTAAAAACGTTGTTGGAAAAAGTCTGTTGTGTAAACAATGAACTGGAAATAAATCTAGCACAGTTAGCTTATGTTATTCTATGTAAATGTCATTTTCCACAGCATCAGTTGAACTAGGATTGCCAACTCCCCAAAAAAATAAATAAGGGACACCTCACTGGCATGGCCCCCAAATGCTTTGATACGGCCCTCAGTAGGACCGAGTTTTGAAGGTGATCTGAATGTATGGAATATATGAATATTATGAGCTAATAAATAATATTTGCTTTATAACGTTAAAACGTGCAGTGGGATAAATCTACCTACATTTTCCTTTCCAAGCCCTTTGTTTTGTTTTCCTGTAATTATCCTGTCCTGTCTGTCTCTGGTCCTGCATCTGCCACAGGGAGATGCGGGATAGCTCTCCAGAAAAAATCGCTGCCTGACCGCGGCCGTGGAGCACGGGTGATGAGTGTAGCAGGGACGCGCGTCGGCCACGGATAAAAGACAGAAAGTACCACAGCAGTTATGAACGATCGTGTGTTAAATGTATTTTGGTGGCGCCGCTTTGAGGATGTTACTGTGGCCGTGCGCAAGACGCAGATGCCGGTGGAGCGCATGAGCGCTCGGCCTCTGTTCATCTTCTCCGCTCGAAAGAATCCTCGATGCTGAGAGTCCATAACATGGGTAGAAACTTGATCTTGTTTCAGGCTCAGTAAATGATGGTTTAGCAATATTGTCCAGGGGGAAAATTGGAGAAATTTTGGAGAATGGTGGCTCCGGGTTGGAGAGATGATCAAATTGTGTCATTTACTTTTGTAGCATGAATGACCTGTTTATGACCTAACGGTCATGATCTGCTGCGTCTGCTCGAGCAGAGACATAAAGTCTCCGACAGGCTAATCTACATGAGATAGTGGCCAAGGTCTTTCATGCACTCTGCTCATCTGAACTGCTTTACCAAGCGAAAACGAAGAACTATTCTGATAAATACATAATCAACAACTCTGTTATTACCAATGATAATGTGAGCCCAATGTTCAATCAATCTGTGAAATGACAATGTTATTACTTGATATTATAATCCTGGACATTTGCACTAGACACTGATGACACGTAATGTTAAAGTCACACGACACATTTCCTTTTGTCTGATCCAATCAGAACCTTCGTTTCTGGGGCGGGGCGTGGTTTTCTGTGGTGTTTGTATAAACCCTCTTTTTCATGTCAAATTATGATTCACCAGTAAACCAAAATATGACAATTATAAAAACTATCCCACGCCACCTTTTCTTTAGTTCAAGCGTTCTAGAGAAGTCTCGGACCGGCCATCCGGACTTCCTCTTCAGCCAAAAGAACCTCAACAAGCTGGATAAAATCTGTTGCAAGTTACACCTGACTGCAACGGTTCCTTCAGAATAAAAGCTGAACCTCACGACCCCTTCAGGGTCTTGGAGATGCCAGTGAACCTGTCGTGACCTGGAAGCATTCCAAGACTAGTTTGGTTGGCACCGCTGCTTTTCTTCCAGCTTCAGTACCAAAGAGGGTCCAAGAGGACCTTGACATTCTGGATCTAACGTGGGCTTCCCCTGGGGTACGTAGACCGACAGATGGCGTTTCATGTGTGTTATAAATCTCCTACTAAAGTTTAGAGTGAAACATTCACTCCCACTCAGAACTAAATGCTTCTCCGGATCCGCTGGTTCTGAATAACATTCCACACACACACATCATCATTCATCACGTCTCACTCCACCTTAGTCCAACACAGAGTGTTTAAGTTAGTCTAGTTTAAATTGTGTAGAAATAACTTTCTTTACTATTATAAACCTGACTCTCTCTCTCTTTCCTTGGAGTTAATACGAAGTGTCGCTTAATCCCTGCAATAAAAAGTTCTGATCTTCTGGTTAAAATATTCAAAGATCCATCAGATTGATATTTCATATTTCATCACTCGTAAACAAGACCCCAAAATACTCCACTGCAGGACCTCATCCCTGACCTGGAGAAGGTATTCCACCATTTTTCTGACTCAAGTCTTGAATTTAGAGAAGGTAATTGTCATCCCAGCTGCTTCATACCTGGCTGCGAACCTCTTCAGTGAGAGCTGGAGATCGCGTTCTGATGAAGCCAACTGGGCCACGTCATCGGACTCAATCCTTGGGCCACAAAAAAGGATCCCCTCAACACCTTGGCGGCACCTAGAAATCCTGCCCATTAAGTTATGAACAGAATCGGTGACAAAGGGCAGCCTCGGCGGAGTACAACTCTCACATGGAAACGAGCCCGATCTACTGGGGTAACCACCACCCCGGTCTGCCAATCCAGTGGAACTGCCCCCGATGTTCATGCGATATTGCGGATCCGCGTCAACCAACACAACTCTACAGCATCCAGATCCACAAGGAACTCTGGGCAAATCATGTCCACCCCCCGGGGCCCAGCATCAGAGATTGGAGAGCCGAACCTAAGGTACCAGGACTCTGCTTCCTCACTGGAAGACATGCCAGGGGGATTGAGGCGGTCTTTGAAGTATTCCACCCACCCTAACCCTATAAACAGTGTTGGTAGAAGACTGCTTTCCCCTCCTGAGGAACCGGATGGTGGACCTGAATCTCCCCAAAGCTGTATGAAAGTCTTGCTCCATGGTCTCACCAAACATGCTCCGTCCATGCCCATGTTTCTGTAACCACCCAAGCCACATTCTGCTTGGCCTGCCAGTACTCAACAGCTGCCTCTGGAGCCCCACAGGCCAAAAGACCCGACAGGACTCTTTCTTCAGCTTGATGGCATCTGTAACTGTCGGTGTCCACCAGCAGGTTCGAGGATTGCCACCATGGCAGGCATCAACAACCCTGTGGCCGCAGCTCTGGTCGGCTGCCTTGACAATTGAAGCATGGAACACGGCTCACTCGGACTAAATGTCCCCTGCCTCTCCCAGAATATTTTCGATGTTGGAGGTGGGAATTTAAACTTCTTCTGACAGGAGACTCTGAAATATGTTCCCAGCAGACCTTTACAATACGTTTGGGCCTGCCAGGTTTGACCGGCATCCTCCACTACCATTGAATTCAACTCACCACTAGGTAGTGGTCAGTTGAGAGCTCTGCCCCTCTCTTCACCCAAGTGTCCAAGACATGCGGCCACAGATCAGATGAGATGACAACAAAGTCAATCATTGAGCTGCGGCCTAAGGTATCCTGGTGCCAAGAGTACATACGGGCACCTTTATGTCTGAACATGGTGTTCATTATGGACAATTAAATACCCCCAGCAGAATGAGGGAGTCACGGGAAAGAGCACTCTCCACCACCTCCTCCAAGGACTCCAAAAAGGGTGGGTAGTCTGAACTGCAGTTTGGTGCATAAACACAGACAACAGTCAGGACCCATCCCCCCACACGTAGGCGAGGGGAGGCTACCCTCTCATTCACCGGGGTAAACCTCAACATACAGGCACCAAGACAACTAGTTAGCCCACCCCTGCTCAGCGCATCTCAGTCAGGGCAATTTCAGAGTTGTAGTATGTCCAGCCTCTCTCAAGAAAATTGGTTCCGGAGCCAGAGCCATGCATCGAGGTGAGTCCGACTAGGTTGAGAACCTCTTAACCTTGCACACCAACTCAGGCTCCTTTCCCATCAGAGAAGTACCAAGAGAAGTACCAGTCCACGTACCAAGAGCCAGCTTCTACAGCCGAGGATCAGACTGCCAAGGTCCCTGCCTTCGGCCATCACCCATCACATATTGCACCCCGACCCCTTTGGCCCCTCCCACAGGTGGTGAGCCCATGGGAAGGGGGACCCACGCTTCTTCTTTGGGCTATGCACGGCCGGGCTACATGGCTGAAAGCCTGGCAACCAGGTGCTCGCCAATGTGCTCCACCTCCAGCCCTGGCTCCAGAGAGGGACCCCGGTGACCCATGTCCATGAGAGGGAACACTGTTTCCATTTGTATTATTCATCATAAGGGCTCTGTGGGCTACACTTTGTCTGATCCCCCACCTAGGACCTGTTTGCCATGGGTGACCCTATCAGAGGCATAAAGCCTCAGACAGCTTAGCTCCTAGGATCACTGAGACACTCAAAACCCTCCACCACAATATGATGGCAGCCCAGGGAGGAGTAAAATAAATCCGCATGAGAGTAATTATTAAGAACAGAGTCCCCTCTCCTCTGAACACAAGTTATAGAAGTGCTTGCCTCATCCAGTATCCATCATTTGTATTGCACCGTTTCGTCTCAGCCGCCTCGTTGCAGGGACAGGCCCCTCCCAAGCACGGGCTGGGAGCCCACTGCCCCCCACCCTTACATTTCCCACCACCTTTAAGCAAAACTCACTCCCTTTTAACCGTAAATGTTTTCATAAACAAACATAACTACTATGTGACGTAACTCACCTAAGCCTTTAACCACTCATGGTTATACACATTATCTTACAAAGTCCTTCAGATAACCAGGTGTTCTTCGCTCTCTCTCTGAACGTCTTGATTCCAGTACTTTCACCAACACAGGGTCAGACGGAGTTCCCAAGGTAGGTGACATTACAGGTAAGTCCTTAACATCAGAACTTCTCTCCTCAGATCACGGCACGGGTGCTGCTCCAGAACCTTCAACCTCCTCCTGTGTAGTGTCTGGAACCCTCACATCCCTTCTCTCTCCCTCTCTTCAAGTAACCCCGGGTCGGTCACCCGAGCTCTTACTTGATCTACGTGTCTTTTCACCACATGTCCTGTTCCAACACCAACACTGTAAGATAAAGGTCCAGTCACAGACTGGATAATTCCAAGGATCCATTTTGGTGCATAGTAATAATTCCTTATAAGCACATCATCTCCCGGAGTAAATCCTCTCACCTTGCAATGAGGGTCATGATCTGTTCTCTGTTTCAGCTGTTTGTTGCGAACTTTGGTTTTCAGATCCGGAACAACCAAATCCAAAGTAGACCTCAGTTTACAGACATGAGTTCAGCTGGGGACAACCCAATTGTAGCATGAGGAGTAATCCTGTAGCTAAACAAGTATCGGGACAGTCTAGTTTGAATGGTTTCTTCCTTCAGTTCCTTCATTCCATCTTTAAAGGTTTGTACCACCCTCTCAGCTAACCAATTAGAAGAAGGATGGAAAGGTGCAGATCTCACATGCTTGATACCATTTTGTTTCATGAAAATCTCAAATTCTGCACTGGTGAAACACGTTCCATTATCAGACACCAGCATTTTTGGTATTCCATACATATTAAAACTTTGTGTAAGTTTCTCAATGGTAAATTGGGAGGCACTAGTTTTAGTAGGGTAAATGTTCAACCACTTGGAATGAGCATCCACGATAATGAGAAACATTTCTCCCAGAAACGGTCCAGCGTAATCCACATGAATCCGGGACCAAGGAGATTCAGGCCACTCTCAAGGGTGTAATCGTGCGGAGACAGGTTCCTTCGGATGTGCTTGGCATTGGGAACAAGCTTAAACTGTTCTCTCCACATCTTGGTCCATTCCCGGTCACCACATGTACGATCTCGCCAGCCCTTTCATTTTAGTCATTCCTGTGTGAGTTTGATGTAACAACTTCAGCATTACCCCTCGTCCCTTAGGGGGAATAACCATACGAGCACCCCAGAGAATACAGCCATCTCTTACACTCAACTCCATTTTTCTCTTAAAATACGGTTTCAAGTTCGGATCATCCATGTCACAGTTAGGCTATCCTTTTAACAGGTATTCATAGACTTGAGATAAAACAGGTCTTTGGAAGTCCACCTCTTGATCTGTTCCACATTTATAAGTGACCCCTCCAAAACATCCATCATTAACACTTGCTCAGCTTTCTCCTCTCCTTTTAACGTGACCAGAACCGGCAGTCGGCTCAACGCATCCGCATTTGCGTGATGTTTGCCTGGTTTGTACACCATGTTGTACTTGTATGCACTCAACTTCACAGCCCAACGTTGCACTCTTGGTGATCCCATTTGAGGAATAGCTTTCTTCTCGATGAACAAGTAGATCAATGGTTTATGATCCGTGCACACTGTGAAGCAGCGACCATACACATTCTTGTGGAACTTCTCTGTTCCAAAAATGACTGCAAGTCCTTTCTTAGCCAACTGCGAATATCTGGTTTCGGCTGGTTGTAAGGTATGAGAAGCAAATCCAATGGGTCTTTCACTTCCATCTTCCATGATGTGAGATAAAACTGCACCCACTCTGTAGAGTGACGCATCGCATGACAAAATGAACTCTCGGTCAGCTGAGTAATGCTCAAGCACATCCGATGAATGCAACAACTCTTTAGCTGCTTCAAATGCTTCCTCTTGTTCTTTTCGCTATTTCCATGTGGCATTTTGTCGTAATAACTCGTGCAACGGTGCCAATGTGGTAGCCAGGTTTGGAAGAAATTTGTCATAATAGTTTATCAGTCCCAAAAAAGATTTAAGTTCACTTACATTCTTTGGTGTGGGAGCCTCGTGGATTGCTTTAACTTTCTTATCCAAGGGGTGTAATCCTTGTGCGTCCACTCTGTACCCTAGGTACTCCACTTCGTCTCTCAGGAAAACACATTTGTTCCTCTTCGACCAAAGTTCTGCCTCACTTAGTCTTGTCGGTACTGCATCCAAGTTCTTGAGATGATCAGCTGTATCCACTCCACGGACCAAAACATCATCCAGGTACACGGCCACCATGGGTATTCCATTTAGCAAGCTCTCCATAGTTCTTTGAAAGATTGCGGGGGCTGAAGCCACACTAAATGGAAGTCTGTTGTACGTAAACAACCCTCGGTGCATGTTTACTGTGAGATACCTTTTCGAGTTCTCGTCCTTGAGTATTTGCTGGCATGCATGACTCTAACTTAGAAAACGGAACACCTTTAAACAGAGATTTCAACAAATCCTCCACTCTGGCTATCGGGTATTGCTCCAAAGTTGACGCTATATTGACAGTTAATTTGTAAACTCCACACAATCAACCCCAACCGAGCCCTCTGGTTTTAAAATAGATACAACCGGTGCTGCCCACTCCGAGTACTTCACTGGTTTGATACCTTGTCCTTCAGCAACCTGTCAATTTCATTGTCCACCTTAGCTCTCATAGCACAAGGAATCGATGTGGGACGATAAAAATGTGGAACTGTATCCTCTTTCACATGGATGGTAGCTATTGTGCCCTTTAAAGTGCCCAACTCCTCCTTGAAAACTTCCTCATGGTTTCTCAAGATGTTTTGTAAACTCTCCTCCTGTTTGTTATTTTTCTCCACCGAGACATGATGTATTTGTCGGTCCGAGTGTCGAGCTTTTATTTCCTCCCAACTTAGTTTAAGTTCCTCCAGCCAGCTTCTATCTGAGAAGGTAGGTCTGTCTCCTTTCACGACCAGTAGGGGGAGTTTGGCTCTTTGAGTTTTATATTTCACTCTCACTTGTGCGGCTCCCACCACTTTCACTGCATCTCCAGTGTAAGTTTATAACTTAATCTTGACTGGGTTAATCTGAGGACATTTATTAAATCTCCATGTTGCTTGAAATGTCTTTTCGCTCATAACGGTTAGACTGCATCCGGTGTCAGTCTCAAACTGAACTCTTTTCCCATTTATTTTCATATACTCGGTATACGCATCAACTTTTCTCATGTTAAAGTCACTCATATTCCCTAAGCTGAACTTCATGCTTTGTAAGGGAAAACATGGCAACCCCCTAGCCGGCTGATAAGGAAAGCTTTATAACTGTAACCTTCCCTGCAATGTGACAGTCACAGTGGACTGTTTTGTGATTATTTGATTGTCCAATTATTACATAGTTCACCTTTAAACCTAAAATGTTGTTTTGAATCCGGCTGTAAACATGTTTACTTCTGCTGCGAAGCTGGCATTTAAAACGTGAGATTAAACGAGGATTTGCTCACTTCTGGTGCCAGCCCCTAGTGACTGAGAGTGGAACTGCAATGTTTGCCTCTTCCATGTTGGCTTCATAAAATTCCCAGGATTGTGGGGGGTCTGGGGCTGAGTCGAAGGCCTTCTGAGGATTCAACCAATCAGCTAACAGCTCATTATCATATTCATGTCCTGGCCGAGTAGGAGGTAAACAGCTCTTTTCATAAGTATTTTGATGTTTTTGTTGTTTCAGAATAATTCCTAATAAGATCTCATAATTTTCTGATTAATTCTGTTGGTTTATTTTCTAAATCAAAGGGACTGTCTAATACTCATTTTCTGAATTTAGCAGAAAATCACATTGTTTGTTGTTTTTTTAAAATGGTTTCAACAGATTGTCACAATAAAAATATGTATAATATATAAAGGTTAGAGGTCACTACAAAACCAAATTTTAAACTGTTACAAATCTGAATCCCGCGAGGAAATTGTACCACGTAGTTAAAAAACGTCCCGCGTGTGGCAAGGAGGAGAAACGAGGGCCCGGGCGGGATTCGATCCCCAGACTCCCAGGTGAGAGTCACGCGCGCTAACCAGTCAGCGAAAGGGACATCCCCTTGGCCAAGTAGCCAGGGCACACGATCAATCGAGACACAGTGACAGGACGCTCACACTGTCACACGTGTGAGACACAACTGCCAGTTTGGAGGGCATGGCTCAAAAGTTTTTGTAAACATTGGACTTGCAGCTGATTTGTCACTATAAGTCACATGACCAGCTCCAAAAGTCATCTCGCAATGCGTAGCCGTGAGCCGCCACATTTGACAAAAAAAACTCTGTCAGGGACATGGACGTAATTTTTGGGGGGGATAGGGGGGGACATGCCCCCCCCCCCACTTTGTCCAAAGTCAAGTTTTGACCCCTGCACTTTCTACCATCCAAAAACAATATTACTTTATATTAAATGGACACCGGTTGAGCTCTAGGACCAAGCGAAAAACAACAGTTAGTGTTGAAGCCTGTTTCCCATTAGAACATACTGTACAGACCCCCCCTGCACTGCTAAAGTGAAAATTACATCCACGGTCAGGGAAGTCTGAAGTTTTACACAGTTTTCTGGGAGTGGAATTACCTAACGGTGTGATTGTTTTTGTTTTGTTTTGTTTAGAATCACCACACCTTAAACATACCTGCTGGGTTAAGGTTAGGAGTGGGATTAATTTTATTGGGATTGGGATGGCAGGTAACTATCTCTCCTTGCTTTCTGGGATTGGGATAAGATGATTTATTTTACAATGAGAGTGGGTTAGGAAAGCAAAGGAAATATTTTCCCATTCCACCCTCTAATTTATACCTGATTCTGGTTGGCTTCAGCTTTTGGGCTCTTGGGAGGTCGAACCACCGTTGGCATCAATGGATTGTGGAGCGCCGTCTCATCTTCTGTTGGCTCCTCTAAGATCTAAGTGAGACAATAAGCCAAAGTACTACGATGAAGGAAATCAGGAGGAAAACTGATGAGGCAGAAGAAGTCTAGTAATTTTTGTGGATGTGTGTGTCCCAACAGCTCAAAGCACATGCCATACACCACCACTCACCCAGCCTGTAGCAGCAAACATTTTCAGGTCTAACGGGTCTCCAGAGAGCTCTCCCTCTATCTTAGTCAGCGAGTGGCAGGTGGCCATGCAGGCCACAAACGTGGTGCTCACCATATGTTCCTCAACTACTTCAGACTCTGGAGGACAAAATCTGTGATGGAGACAAACAATAAAAAACATTTGAGCATTACATTATTTGCACTCGGGTTGAAAACGCAACTAAAACCCTTTCCTGGGTCTTCATCTACAAGCTCTTGTGTTTCCTACTAAGACAAAATATCCACTGAACTAAAGACAGCAACAAACACCCAAACAGATGTATGACAGGGTATTAACTTTGAACTTTGACCCATCAGAAGAAATAAAGGATGATTATATGAAAATGGCAAGTGGGCAGTGTCAGATATCTAGGGGTGGTCCTTCTCTGAGAATTCTCTAAAATGTATGAAGTGGGTTAGGGTTAGGGTTAACCCTAACCCTAACCCTAACCCAATGGCTCTCTTAATATAGCAACACAATCAGATATGCAAAGATGAAATACTATACATTTTTAGACCTACACTGATTCAATTAGATTAAATATTCTCCCTCAACTGCTCTACTGGTTCCAGTGTTTACCAATTTTCATACCTCAAAAACAGTTTGTAGTGTGGGAAAGACTACTGTCAACATATATTTGAAAAGGGAATAAAATCCAGATTCGAGTACAAGACCTTACAATAGAAGAAAGATATGGGAGGTGGGGGTCTGCCTTGTTTACAAGGTGCACAGTTGAGACCATTAAATTGTTTGTGTTCTTCAGCTTACACTAAGGAATGTGGCGGGGACAAATATTAAAACAATACCAGTTAGGGCCTTATTAGCAGACATCAAATTGCAGAATAAGATCAACATGACTCGCGAACCCATTTCATGTGTAATGACAGCTGCATGGACTGAAGCAATTAGGATCTGTAGCTTGGAAGATGCTTCAAAAATTCTAAGACGGTGTGAATATGAATCAGACTTTATCAGCATGATGATAGACTTAAGAATAGGATTTTAACTGGGTCGTCTGACTATCATCCTTTTATCCACAAGGGGCACTGCAACCTTTTGAATCCCTGCAAAGAAAACATGGACTAGACTTCTAATATCTTCAGGTGTCTTGAGATCAGATGCTATATTAACCAGTCCGCCGTTTCCACGTTGGCGCCACAAACATTCTGAACCCTCTTAAAACCCATGTAGGGCCCATTAAAATCGATGTGGGCAAAGATCTCTCTGGGCAAACCCTTGTGGACAGTTGTATCACTGCCTGGTTTGGTAACTGTGCCATCTCTGACCGCAAGACACTACAGCGGATAGTGGGAACAGCAGAGAAGATCATCGGAGTCTCTCTCCCCTCAATTAAGGACATCTACACCACACGCTGCATCCGCAAAGCCACCAGCATTGTGGCTGATTGGTCACACCCCTTTCACACACTCTTCAACCTCCTGCCATCTGGAAGAAGGTACCGAAGCATTCGGGCACACACATCCAGACTGTGCAACAGCTTCTTTCCACAAGCCATTCGGCTCCTCAACATAAAGGGGCTGGACTGATAAACGCGCGCATGCGCACACGCACACACACACACTCATGTTTTCTTTGCATGTTTTTTTATGATTCTTTACCACCTACATACTAAGTATGTTCACGGTTTTTCTTTTTTCCTTTGTACTACCTACTTAGAGAGGACATGTCATGTTAGGTCAGTCTGTTCTGTCCTTAGTTAGATAGTTTAGTGATTTCCCTGTTATTTTATGTTGTAAATTTATGTTGCATGTAGCGCCTTGGTCCTGGAGGAACGTTGTTTCGCCTCACTGTGTACAAACCATATATGGCTGAAGTGACAATAAAGTCTAATTGATTGATTGATTGATTGATTGATTGATTGGTTGATTGATTGACTCCAACTTGTTCTTTCTGTTTCAGATCTTTATTATGGGCTACTGTTGGCCACAGCCCACACCTTAACTCCAAAAAAAAAAAGTTAAAGTGACAATATGTAGTTTTTACCATTAATCTCTGGAAATATCCATTGAAATGTTGTAGCAAATGACTTAAAAGATATCCAGTTGTTGAAAAATATTGGAAGTTTCATAACCATAAAAATCCGTTCTAAAATAAATGGAGTTTGGTCTAAGTCTCTGGGCAACACCATATTGGATGCCATGTTTCCTTCTACGGAAGTCTGTGAGGACAAAATGCATTTACTGATTTGTAACAAATGGTTACAAAACTTTCACCATTAATAAACATTGTTGCTTTACACATTTACCTCCACTCGTTGCCAGTGATGAAAGGGAATCTGATGTTCTTGTTATTTTGCTGGAAGTTGCACTCCTAAGGATTTTTGACCCTAATGGCCATCTGTTGGTAAGATATTTTTGAACACAAAAACAATGCTTGCTTGCAATGATTTACGTATGTACTGTCCCCCATCACCAGGGAAACTACACACTGTCACTTTAATGATCTCCTTTCAAACTATCTCGTTTTTTCTTTCTAGAAAACCTAATCGGAACTCTTCACACAACCGGCCAAGAAAATCCCCTTCAACATAAAAGTCCAACCCTAACAAACCTTAACCCGTTATACTATGGTAAAACAATGTAAAGTGTGAGATATACAGCCTTAATTTGCGCACTTATACTAGCTATAATCATAGTTTGAAATGAATTTAAATATCATGAAACATTTAATATTTACTTTTTTTAAGCCACTGGCTTCTTCCTGTCTAGCTGCGCTGCTTCAGGTGAGCTTCTCATGAGACAGTCCGAAGTAGAGGAGAAAAGTCTGTGTCCCGCCTTTTTGACAGTCTCCAATTTCAAATTAATTCCTTGTCGCCCGTTTCGAGTTTAATGTTTGTGTAAATTGTGGATAAAGCAGGAGGCGGGACTTAAATGCAGATTTAGGTTAAGAGAGCGTGGAGCGCGCTCACGTCAAACCAGCAACACAAAATGAAAGGGCAGGGTGAGTAAAGATGATCAATAACTGCATAGATAGATGAGCGGAGAAAATATCTTATTTTGAAATTTCTGAGGTGAAGTAACATTTCAGGAGCGAATAAGAAGAAGGGAGTGTTCCCGTTTTTGGAGGGGGCGTTCTCGTTTACAAACCAAAATGCACATTTTAGTGGTTGGACGGACGATATTGCACAGGCAGAGAGGCACATAAGGGGCGGGACTAACCAGCTCAAAAGTAACCTCTCAGAAAAACGAAAGAAATGCCGATTGTACCGCGGGACGCTGAATTTTTTTTTAGCTGGAGTCAAAAATGGCGTCTGGCAATGGCGCAAACATCTTTTTTAAAAGAAAGGATTTTAGCACTTCTGGTTGTGGTTTTAAATACATGTCCAAGTCATTTAGAACAGAGGAAAGCGCCGCAGCGAACTCCGCTTCAGAAGCTGTCTTCATTGTTTGTAAGAAACTGAGTGTTGCTGTGTGTGACGTATGCTGCTTAAGGTTGGTTTATGCTTGACGCGTCCGCGAGGTCCGCGCGGAAAAGTTGCGTCATTTTGCGTCATTTTAACAATCACGCCCCTCCACCGCGCCTCCGCACGGCCCAGAATTTCCGCAACGCGCACCTCGGAAACTTTCTAACCACGCGGACGGTCGGACGCGGAAAAACATGGCGGACCGGCAAGAACTAGTATGGCAGAGGTTGGTAAATACAGACATTTGTATGATTCAGCTCTCAGAGATCACCGTGATCAACATGTTGTTAATAATTCTTGGAGAGAAATAGCTCGCACTGTCAGAAAAGACGAGAACACTGTTAAAAATGCTAGAATGTCGTGTTGTAAACAACAGTCATTTTTACTTCTACTATGGTGTAGTGTTGGATGCATGCCGTAGAGCTACATGCTGCCCCCTACAGTTTGGGAGAATATTGGCTCACCGCAGAGACAAGCCGCACGAACCATAAACGCTGCGAGTTGTGAAGCGCGTTCCATCCGCGAGCCGCATCACCGTGCGGAAAGTGAATGTGTCAAGCATAAACCAAGCGTTGATTGGCTCAGTTGGAATTCTTAGGGGGAGGGGTTATTTGAATAGAAGAGTTCCCAGACCCAGTGATTCCCATAAGGAAGCATGGGGGTGACTGGTCAGGCTAGGAAATTGCAGCTCCTTCTGACAGGAGACTCTGCCAGATGTTCCCAGCAGACTCTCACAATTTGTTTGGGCCTGCCGAGTCTGATCGGCATCCTCTCCCACCATTGAAGCCAGTTGATAGCTCTGCCCCTCTCTTCACCAGAGAGTCCAAGACATACAGTCACAGATAAGATGACAAGACAACAAAGTTGATCATCTAGCTGTGACCTAAGGTTTCCTGGTGCCAAGAGCACATATGGTGTCTATTATGGACAATCCATGATGAGCACAGAAGTCTAATAACAAAGACTCAGGGTGTTTCTCAATGTCAAGGAACCTTGCCTTGATGTCTTGGCCTCGCCTCGGTTGCCTAGGAGATACGTCATCAGGAGCCACCAAGACGTGTTCCAATCGGTTCCAATGTTCATGCTCTACCGAGGGGTGTGTTCTGTTTGTTAGCCGTTTAGCTAGCTGAGCAAGGACGCACGGGAGGTGGCTTGTAGCCTAGCCTTCGTCAAAAATTACCCACAATACACCGCAGTATTTTCAAAAGAACGGCGCATCAGAAGCCGGCAGCTACTTCGGGGACAATTTTCAAGTTTAAAAGTAAGTCAGCTCATTTAAAATGTTTTTTTTTAGATCCCAAGAAGTTATCTATGGTTGGTTAATAGCTTAGTAGTTGCAGCTTTGGTGGCTATCGGGTAGTAACTCACTTATATATTTAATTTGACAAACATACACAATTTAAAAAGTAAAAGTCTCGTTATATATTTATATTGAAACTAATACGTATAAAACATAACATTATCTCCTGTGTCACGTGACGTTACGTTACCGCCGTGGAAGCCGCGGTCACGTGATGCAAGTCTGTTTCATTTAACCGTTTTCTTTGACTAAGGAAGAACAGTGTCCTCGTAAGCAAGGCGCCTGGTCTCGCAAGACATCGCCTCACAAGGCCAGGCGCATTGACATTGAGTCTCACTGTCGTTGCCCACAGGAGCATTGAAGAGAAGGAGGAAGTCACCAGAAGAAG